GGGGAGGGGGAGAGGAAGAAGCAGACTCCCCGGACGCAGGACTTGATTCCAGGACTCCGGGATCATGACCCGAGCCAAAAGGCAGATGCTCAACCGACTGAGCCACCAGGCGTCCCCTATTCTATTCCTTTTGAGAGTAAAATTTCTCAAATGAGTTGTCTGTAACCCGATTTGCACCTGCTTTCCTCCTGCTCTTTCTTGAACTCACTCCAGTCAGGCCGTTGTTTCCACCAGTCCTCTGAATTATTTCCCTCTTCTCAGGGTCTCCAATGACCTCCAAGTTATCAAGTCAATGGTGACTGGTCAGCTTTCCTTTTGCCCTGCCTGGGAGTAGCACTGGTCCAGGCATCTTCTCCCTTGCCCCTGGCTTCCTACCTCCTCCTGCCACTGGCTAATCCTTCTCTACCTCCTTTGGCGGCTCCGCACCTGCCTCCCAACTTGGCCATGAAATGTTCCCGACTACATTCATTCGCCGGGACCCCATCTTGTCCTGTGACTATCAATAACACCTATATGCCAAGGACTCCCAGGTTATATGTCCAGTCCTGACCTTCCCCCCACCCCAAATTCCAGCCTCTAATATCCAATGTCCTATTCAGGCTCTGTTTGGAGGTCTACTAGATATCTCAGCTCATCACATCCCAGTTTAAACTTGTGATTTTCCACCTCCCTAACTTCTTCCTCACCTTAGTAAATGGCATCACCATTCATCCACCTGGCCCAGTAAAAACTATGACGTTATCCTTCCTTTCTCTGTTATACCTTAAATTCTGCAAATTCCACCTTCAGAATAAGAATATGTTCCATATTTGGTCACCAGCCAGCCATTCCTCTTGTGTCTGGACGCCTTAACAGTCTCCTAACAGATCTCCCTGCTTCCACCCTTACCTAATCTAAAGTCTCCATGCAGAAGCTGTGGTATTTTTTAAGCAGAAATCACACCACATCACCCTCAGCTTCTGGCATTCCAGTGGGCTCATGTTACACTTGAAATAAAACTAAGGTCCTTAAGATGTACATGACATTAATAAGCTGAGTCTACCTCCCACTGCTCCCTTCCTTGCTCACTCTACCCCAGCCACTCCAGCCTTCTCACTGTTCCTGCAACACATCAAGCATATTCCTGCCTCAGGGACTTTGCACTTGTAGCTCCTTCTGCTTGGAACAGGTTCCCCTGCTACCTAAACAACAGGCTCTCTCACTTTGTTCAGATCTCTGCTCCGCTGTTGCCTCCTCCAAGGGGCCTTCCCTGATCACCGTATCTAAAACAATAGCTCCTTGACATGTCACTTGCATTGGGCACTTAGTCCCTTACCCTGCTTTACTTTTCCCCATAGCACTTACCACCATCTGACATTATATTGGGTGCTTGTTTCTTCATTGCTCTTTGTCCTCATTAGAATGTCAGTCCCATTAGAGCAGGGATTTGTCTGTCTCGTGCACCATTTCCCCAGTGTCTGTACACAGGGGATGTGAATGAAGAGATGAAGGAAGGATTGAGAAGGTGAAACAGCATGTGAGTAAGAGAACAAGTGGCAGCCTGGGGGTCCTGGCAGTCCTCTAGCAGAGGACACCAGGTCCCATTCCTTGGCTTGTGCAAGGCTCAGGCCTGGATGAAGCCACCAATGTTCCCTGCAAAGGCAGCCCAAGGGGAGGAACAGGCCCCAGGTTAGGACGCAGTGCCCCCTAGTGTTCAGGACACGTGCAGCTCCAGGGCGAGGCCTGAGAATCCTGGAGATTTGTAAAGAGGTTCTCTTTTATAGACTGGTTGGAATCTCACAAAAACTGACATAAAGCAAAGAGTCTTAGGTTTGTAATAAAAAAAAGTATGCCAGAACAGAGACCCAGAGTTCTAGGTTCCAGGTCTGGCCATGACCCTAATTCTCTAGGTAACCTTCAGTGTCCTGGGATTTGCTGAGCTGTCAAGGGCTGGTTTGCCACTGTGGGGTGGAGGGGTCCTTGCTGCAGCTAACCGGACTGGGTAGCCTCTTGGCCTCAGCTTGCTTTATGGCCGGCAGCCTGATCGATCATGGGAAGATTTTCCCTGTCATAGGGAAGACATCACTCCCCTCCCATAAGTGGGGCTGAAACCTACCTCCCCCTGCCTTTAACATCCTTCCAGGCTTTTCTCTCTGTGGCCAGCACTGCACAGAAACCCCCTGCCCACAACCTCCTTTCACACACTGCATTTGGAGATGTCTTTCAGACATCCAGGAGTCTGGTGTGCAGTTGGATTCTTAAATCTGGAGTTCAGGGGGACAGCTCTGTGCTGAGATGTACCTTTGGGAGTCATGAACATTTAGATGGTCTATGAGATCTGGAAACAGAATTGGCTCACTTATGGCAGTGGTTTTCCACCTTGGACTCACACAGAAATCATCCGGGAAATTGAAAAACTGGACACTGGTACCCAGGTCGCACCTAGACTGAGGAAATCTCAGCCCCTGGGTGCAGGGCAAGGCGTAGGCATTTTTAAAAGGGCTCCAGGTGATTCCGTGTGCAGCCAGGGTTGAGCTACACTGTGTCTGAGGCCGGAGCCCCAGGCAGAACTCTGGCAGATGAGGTGCCAGCCGAGGCTGGGAAGGAGAGATCTGTGAGGAGGGAGGAGAACCAAGTGAAAATGGTGTTTTAAGGAGAGATGTTAGATCCTGCTGAGAAGTTGGGGAGACCAGGTTGCTTTTGTTTTGGGGAACAAGAGGTTGGTGACCCTAATAAGAGTGATGTAATGGATCAGTGGGGCCCACGGGGAGACTTGAGTTGGCTAAAGGGAGAATAGGAGAAAGTGGAAATGAAAGTAATCAACAACGCTTTTGAGGAGTTTCACTGTGAAGGGGAAAAGGGAACGGGGAGGTGGCTGAAGCCGAATGCGAGGTCAAAGGTTTTCTTTAAAGATGTGAAATTATGGAGCGTGTTTGCATGTGGCTGGAAAAGATGATGGTGATGGTGGAATTCATGGGCTGAGGAGAGAGGACGGCTCAGTTTGCGAAGCTGGGAGGAGGGGGCTGGGGTCAGAGCGCACGGGTTGGGGAGCAGACACTTCTGTCATCGTAGGGCAGGACGGAGATGGTGCGGCTGCTGGTGCACTTGCCAGTGAAGTGCTGGGTGGTCGAGGGGCTTCGCTGCTGTCAGCTGCCATCTGTCCAGGATATCTTTGAGATGAGAAGGAGTGGGGTTGGAGAGGAGAAGGTGAGAAGGTCTTGGGATGGAGGAGCTCTCCGGAGAGCCTGTCTATCTGAGCTTCGAGATCACGTCATGAGAGAATGTGGTCAGCCTGGTTGTGTGAATTTCTCTGGCCATGGGCAGTTGCCCCCCCGTCCCCCACCAACCTCCCAGCACTTCACTGGCAAGTGCACCAGCAGCCGCACCATCTCCGCCCTGCCCTACGATGACAGAAGTGTCTGCTCCCCAACCCGTGCGCTCTGTGTCCAGCCCCCCTCCCCTCCCAGCTTGGCAAACTGAGCCATCCTCTCTCCTCAGCCCAGGCATGGAGGGGAATGGGGTTCACCTGAGGCTGGGCACTTTGCCAGACAAATAAGATGGAAGAAGAGAGGAGCACAAGGGGGTTGCTCCATTGGCGGAGCAAAGAATCGAAGTTGGACAAGGATGGCGTTGCGGAGAGCAACTGCACAGATGGCGAGGAAAGGGTCCTGTAGGCCAGTGTGGTTGGAGAGGGGCTTTATGGGCCATGCCATTGGAAGTGGGCTGGAAGGAGAAAAGGAGGTGGCCAGAGGTGGATGCTTGGAAATAAGATTGTGTAGAGGGAGCATCACTGTCATGAAGAGGTGCAGGATGTGCCAATGGCATGGGCAGTGGAGGCAGAGTTGAGGTCAAGGGGCTGGGGGCAAGATTCTTGGGGGCATGATGCTTTTGTGCAGGGAGGCCTCAGGCATGGTGACAGGAGTAGCATGAGGGCACCAAAGTCTTCAAGACACTTGTTTATCTCCCTCCGGAACATGAGATCCTTGAGAACGGAACCTCACTGAATTATGGGGTACCTGGGAGGCTCAGTTAAGCCTCCGACTCTTGATTACGGCTCAGGTCATGATCTGAGGGTTGTGAGATCAAGCCCTATGTTGGGGCTCCGTGCTGAGCATGGAGCCTGCTTAGCGTTCTCTCTTTCCCTCACCCCCACCCCCAGTCTCTCTCCAAAAAAAAAAAAAAAAAAAAAACGGAAAACAAAAACAAAAGGACCTCACTGTCTTGAACATGGCGGTGTCCCCAGTGCCTGGCACAGAGTAGGCAGGCAGTAAAACTCTAAGGCATGAATGCATGCCTGGTAGGTAATTTGACCTTTGTCCTTGACGGCTGAGGAGACTGAGGCCCAAGGTTCCCCAGAAGTGTCTGCACATTTTGGAGTCTTATTGGGGAGCAGGTGTTTTGGTTGTGCAAATCTTTGAAGTCCCTTCCACCTGCCCTTCCCCCACCCCCCACCTATTACCTCCTCCCCAGATCAGGCTACTTGGTCTCCAGTTGGGCTCCCTCAAATTTGTTTTCCACATGGCTCCTTCTATAATCTGACTGTGTCTCTCTGCTGAGGATGAGACCAAGCTCACTGCAGGATGGTCAGGCCTCTCACACTTGGCCACCAACTCCCTGTCAGCTCCATGCTTTTCCCTTTATCTCTGGGCCAGTGCCAGACACACCCTCAGCCTGGAAAGACCGGGGGCTTGCTGTCCACCTGGTAAGGCTCTGCCTGTCCTTCACACTTAACTCAGAGGGCACCTCACGCATGGGCAAGCCCGATTTCTCCTCCTGCCTTACTGTCCCCGTTATTTTTGTTACAGGACTGACTACATGGGCCCTAATTATCTGCATCCCACCCATCTGCTCAAGTGGACTGGAGCCCACGGGTCGCAGAGGTCAAGTGCAGGCTAGGTGTGTCCCCGGCACCCAGCACAGGGCCCTGGTGTTTGCTTCTGGGCACGTGAGTGAGGGTCTGTGTGTCTGTGTGGCCCGGTGAGCACCACTGCCAGCTGTACACTATGCGCTACAAGGTGGGACCAGGAGCAGAGCTGGGAGGTTTTATTATCAGCAAACCTGTACACTGTACACGGCGGTGGGGGGGGGTGGCGGGGCACAGGAGGGGTCCTCCCCAGCCTGCCTTACCCCTGCAGGCCAGAGTGGATGCAGGGCTGTGTCACAGATGTCCATTGTTGGCCCTGGCCCAGGAACAGCAGAGCACCTGTCTTTCCTCCTGCCACAGAGCCTCGCGGGGCTTTCAGGGCCGGTCACAGGGGGCTGGGCCCTTCTTCCGCTCACGGCTCAGCAGCGTCACCAGCTTGGCCTTGAAGCCCGTGTGAGCACTGGGGCGGCCAGAGCTCCCAGCTTCATCACTGTCGCCCAGCTCCAGTTCCAGCAGCCGCCGGTACTGGGCCTCAAGGCTGTTGTCATGGGCAGGGCCCAGCCAGCCCAGGTCCTCGCTGTTGTGGTAGATGGGGCTGGCCAGGGGGCTGCGGCGGCTGGGACCCTCCTGCTCAGGGTCCCTATCCCTGGGCAGCACAGGGCCTGCCTCCAGCAGGCATAGGTTCTCATAGAGGTGCTCGGCATTGCCTGGGGGCCCACTGGCCCGCTTGCACACGGATGCGTAGAGCTCAGACACCGGCTCATCGTGGGGCACCGGGCTCAGCAATGGGGGCAGACTCTGGGGGCCGGGCTCAGCCAGGCGTGCCCTCCAGGAGCTGGGGGGCTCCAGCCCTGGGGGCACCTCCCGCAGCTCTCCTGGCGGGTCTAGTGAGGGCAGGGAGGTCGCCCGAGGCAGGGGACAGGGCCGGGGCCCAGCCAGCTCTGGCAGCCGTTCCCGCTGGCGGGCAATGGCAGCGGCCACGGCCCTGCACAGGTCGAGGGCTCGGGGGCTGCTGAAGGCAAAGAGACCCTCGCCTGAGTCACAGCGGCGTCCAGCTTCGAAGGAGAACACGTCCTGGACATGGGGTTGGGGGGTGGTATGGGTGGGTTCGCGGCGGAGGGACCTGGGCACCAGTCCACCTGCCACCCTTCCCAGCAGGGCACTCCCTGCACCTCACCTTGTCAGAGCCGAACTTGCGCAGGAAGCAGTAGGGCCAGCTGTAGAGGGCCTGGGGGCTGGAGGGTTCCCGCAGCTGGATGGTATCTTGGTTTAGCACCAGGAGGTAGGGCCCCTTCAGCTGGCAGCGGGTGGCAGCCTCGGTCCTCTGCACCACCACTGGAAACTCGCTTACTGCAGGCAGGAGGGTGGCAAGGGCATCAGGGATAGCCCGCCTGGGTTCCCCAAAGGTCCCGGCCCTGGGTGGAGGATGGCTGAGGCTGCCCTTGCCCCTCCCTGACTCACCTTCTTGCCAGGAGGAGTAGATGGAATTCTCCTCCATGGGCACCAGGCCCCTCTTGGAAGCTTCCACCTCCCCTGGTCCTGAGGAATACTCCGCTATGCCCTGGAGAATGAAAAACAGTCAGAAGTTAGAGCCCTCCCCCTACTCCTCTTTCTACATCTTCTCCCTGGGGCCAGTAACCCAGGACTCCAGGCCAGGCAGGAACATCCAGGGACTGGGATGCCACTTCCAGTTCTGTCCCCGACACACTGCACGACCGTGAGGACCTCTCTATTTCCCCACCTGCAGCCCCCAGGTGCCCCCTTGAGGGTGCTGAGAGTTGTAAAGTAGCGGCACACAAGAGGAGGTCCCCATTGCACTTGTACTTGGCCAGGGATTGGGCCTGCCTGTGTGTGTCCCTAACAGCTTGGAGTGATAAAGGGGCAGGAGCTTCAGGGGTGGGACACGCGCGTGAATTGGCTTCTCCATCCTTCTCTAGGCCTCTTTCACCATTTGCCCTTACATCCTCTGAGCTCTTTCAGCACTTCCAGCACAACTACCTTGGCCCACGGTGGCATGGCCAGGGTCACATGCGACAGCTTCCTCCCTGGTCTCCTTGTTCCTGTTCATTTCCTTTTTTTTTTTTTTTAAACTTAAAATATTGTGGTAGGGATGCCTGTGTGGCTAAGTCAGTTAAACGTCTGCCATCAGCTCAGGTCATGATCCCAGGGTCCTGGGATCGAGCCCTGCCTTGGGCTCCCTGCTCAATGGGGAGCCTGCTTCTCCCTCTCCCTCTGCCCCTCTCTGCTCATGCTCTCTCCCTCTCTGTCAAATAAATAAATAAAATCCTTAAAAAAATAAAATATTGTGGTAAAATACACAACATAAAATTTACCATGTCACCATTTTAAAGTGTATAATTCAGTGGTTTTAGTATAGTCATAACGTTGTGTAATGGTCACCTTTATCTAGTTCCAGAATTTTTCATCATTCCACCTGGAAACCCATTAGCAGTCACTACCCACTCCCCGCCCCCTCAGCCCCCAGCAACCACTAAGCTGCTTTCTGTCCCATAGATTTGCCTATTCTGGGTGTTTCACATAAATAGACTGATACTAATGTGTGGTCTTTTGTGTCTGGCTCCTTTTACTTAGCATGATGTTTTCCAGGTTCATTTATGGTGTTAGCATGCATCATTACCTCATTTTTTAAAAAGATTTTATTTATTTATTTGAGAGAGAGAATGAGAAATAGCACGAGAGGGAAGAAGGTCAGAGGGAGAAGCAGACTCCCTGCTGAGCAGGGAGCCTGATGCAGGACTCGATCCTGGAAGTCCAGGATCACGACCTGAGCTGAAGGCAGTCGCTAAACCATCTGAACCACCCAGGCGCCCACCTCATTTTTTTTTTCATGGTCAGATAATATTCTGTTGTATGCATAGACTACATTGGGTGTAACCATCAGTTAACAGACGTTGGGGTTGTCTGCACCTTTGAGCTATCGCGAATATTGCTGCCCTGAGCATTCTCATACAAGTTCTGTTTGAACACCTATTTCAATTCTCTTGGGTATACACCTACTAGTGCAATTGCTGGGTCATATGGCAACTCTATGTTTAAATTTTTGAGGAACTGCTAGGCTCATTTCCTTTTGGTCCTTCATAGACCCTGTGAAGCTTTAAAGCTCTGTCCCTGGCTCCCCAAAGAATCCCCCTCTCAAAGGCATCTCCTCTCACTCAGAATAAAGCCCCGAACTCTGCATGTGGCCCAGAGTAGTTTCAGCTGGCTCCCACCAAACTCTCCACCTTTGCCTCCTCCTGGGCTCCTTCCCACTCCTTACTCTCCAGCCACGATGGCCTTTCTGCCCCTTTAACACATCAAACTTTCCCCTGCCACGGGGCCTTTGCCCATGCTGCCCCCTCTGTTCAGGACACTCCTCAGACCTCAGTGTCTGGGTCACTCTTGCTTCAGATCTTTGCCTGGTGGGCTCTTATTTGTCCTTGAGGACTTGGCTCACTGTCCCTTCCTGAGAGACCTTCCCATCTAATACCCCGCCATTCATGCCTGGTCCCACCAGCCTTTCATTTTCCCCACAGCATGAATGGCCATCTGAGATTCGTTCTGTGGACTTCAGGGCTATTCCCCCGAAGGTTGCAGGTGCTTGGCAGGTACTTGCTGAGTGACAGGATGGGAGTGAGCATGGAGATGAACAAGGTCAGGGGTCAGGTGGCCCACCTCTGGCCCCTTATGCTCACCTGGAAGGCCAGCTGGCAGATGGGGCCCATCCATTCCTGGCGATGCTGTGCGGCCAGCAGGTGGCTTCGCTCTGTGGTGGTGAGCAGGAAGGCACCAGTGTCCTTGGGGCAGCTCTCGCCGTCAGCCGGCAGCACAGACACACAGTCAGCCAGGCGGATGATCCGCCGTTCCCCGCGCCGGCTGGGTCCTGCAGACCTGTCACCTGCTGGCCCCAGGCCACCATCCCGTACCTCCCAGCTCTCCAGCCGTGCCACACCTGATGGGCTTCCTGCATACAGCAGACCCCATACCTTCCGCCAGGACTTCTGTGGGAGATGAGGATGGGGGAAAAGACCCTTGGGTGGTGGTTCTCCCTGTAGCTCAGCACATGCTGCTCAGCAAGTGCTCCTGGCCACCCTGGCTGGCCTCTGCTTCCCCCAGATCCGCAGAGTCCCAGAGAAAGGGGCCCTGCCAGGGCCAGCCCAGCAGGGGGAAGAGTCTGTGCTGGCGGCCGGTCAACTGTGGGTTCAAATCCATCCCACCAATTGCCTAACTGTGACCCCCATGAGCACTAGTGTCCTTACATCTCAAAAGCCATGAGAATGCAAGGTTGGGGCTTCTACTGGATCATGTCTCTGACGTGGTTGAAGCAGACCACCTGATGCTACCATTGTGTTGGTGCCCCCTATGCCCTCTCCCCAAAGAAAAGGTCACTTGGGCCATGGGACAAGGGCTAAGGCAGGAGGGAGGCCTCGGTCTCATGATGGCAAGGAAGGAAACATGCAAATAGCGTAAAGCAAAGGAAACAGATTGTTTATCTGCCTGGGCAGCAGCTGCAGCTGAGCTGTGAGGGTGAAGGGCCTGCTGCCTGGGGAGAGAGGCAAACCCCCCAACTGTGTCCTGTAACAGGGCTGGGAGGAGCTGAGCCCTCGTCTGCAGGCTGGCGCTCCTCCGACTCAGCCCCGGCCTTCTCCACAGGAGCCTTGGTGCCTCTACGACACAGGGCGGAAGGCTGTTGGGTTAGCCAGCCTCTCAGCTCTGCCCTGCCCCAAGGTTTGGATTCTTAGATCCTCCCCGCGCTTGGCTTCCCCATCCGCAAACAGAACAGGCTCTCCAAAAGGCCCACTCAAGCTGAGAATGGGGCTCTGCTCTACTCCCCAACACCTTGGTTGGGTTCCCCACCCTGACTCCTTCCCCATTCTCCCAGGTCCCGGTGGGCTGAGGCTGGGGCCGCCGCCTACCGTCCTGGGCAAGCTGCCTGGCAGCCAGGGTCCCCACCTTGCCGAACTTGATGTGTTGCTGATAGAGGATGCCGTCCTTGATGGGAGTCTCCCGAGGCTCCATGGCCGCTGCCAGGCCCCGGGACTGCCACTCCGAGGGCCTGATGAGACTGATGACAGGCTGGAGGGGAACTCCACACACTTCCCCTTCTGGCCACTTCCCCCTCCCTCTGTCCAGAGAGGCAGCTGCGGGGCTGGGGGGAGGGGCGCCTGTCTTCAGTAAAGGAGTTAGGATAGGGGGTGGGGACATCACATATTTCTTCCTCGGGGTCCAGCTGGCCCAAGGTGCCCATGTGTGCCTGGCAGGGGCCTCAGACCCCCGGAGGGCGGCTGACCTCTGCCTGCACCTGGGTCAGCTGGCTGTGAGTCATAAGCTTCGACCTCTCCTCTGAGCAGGGCAGTCGCACACCCCGGCACCTGAAGTTCCCGCGGCCCTGCCCTGCCCCAGGACCTCTTCTAGCCAGACGGGCCCGCTCCTCGCTTTCCTCACTCTTGAGCCCTGGTTGGCACCCTCTCAGTGCCACTCTGCTGGTCTTTATCTTGGAAATATTTCTAATATTCACCTGCTCCCCTCTGTCTTCACAGTCCCTGTCCATTACCAGCCTCTTATCTCCCCTTTGAACCACTGCCCGACAGGGCCCACTGTGGTCTTTTACACCAACCCCAAACCAACTCCTCTGACTGCCCCCTGCCCGGGGCTGTAGCCTGGGCTCCTCAGCCCTACACTCAAGGTGCCCTGTCCTGGCCTCCACCTCCCCTCGGCCCAGTGCCTCCCAGGAACCCCTTACTGCTGTGCCAGTTGACAGCTGGGCTGCCTCTTTCCCCGAGGAGGCCCCCCCTTGACCACCCCACACCGAGCACAAGGGCCCCACCAGTGAGCCCGTCCTCACGGCATGGCCCAGTCATGTGAGTGTGGGTGGCATGCCCCCAGTGGGTCCCTGGAGAGATCACATGCTTTTTTAAAATTTTGCTTCTTGCTAGGCACCCCTTTTTTTTTTTTTTTTGGCTTCACCTTGCTGGAGACTGCTATTGGGGCTCTGTGTGTCTGAATTCTGGGGACAGCCTCCTGTCACTCATTCAATGCCACCTTTAGGCAGGCATGTGTAACCAGGCTGAACAATACTCTAGGGTCGCATATGGGGTGTGGGCAGGAAGTCTTTTCCAAGGGCCTCTCCACCCGGCTTTGTGTCCCTTGCAGCCTGGGCAGCCCGAAGCTCCTGCAGCCGGACAGTCTGTTCTTTGCATTCTCATTGCCATTTCAATGATGAGGAAATCAAGGCTCAGAAATATTAAGTAACTTGCCCAAGGCCAAACACCAAGTGACAAACATGACTTGAGCAACTGCTGTCCTGCTGGGATAAGCATGTGGTCTTGCACATGAAGTGCCGGGCCCCGAGGAATTGCTGCCCATACTCCTCCTCTGCCCGTCCCTTGCCAGACGTGGAGATCCTGCGCCATGTGCCACCCCGTTATTCCCATCTCCCATCTCTCCCACTTACCTATGAACCTCCCAGCAGGCGTCTGCCTGAATTGCCTGGATCCTGAGCCCAACAGACAGCCAGGCACAGAGTGAGGTCAGTGAGTGCTAGTGGCCTGAGTGGTGGTCCTGTGGCGTTTGCTGCCCCCTCAGCGAGATGGACAGAGGGTTTTCCACTTGAAGTCTGTGTGGGCAGGCAAGTAGGCAGGGGGCCTGAGGCAGGAAGTCACCTCCCAAGGGGCCCCGGGAGCTTCATACAACTGACAGGAAGAGGGAGGCTGGGGCAAGGTTGGAGATTATAAGAGCCAACCAGAGACCAGAAAACCCAGCCATTTCCCCAGGGCCCACCAATGCGGTCTCTCCCTGAGCCACAAATCCAGCTAGCCCAGAGGAGGTACCCAGAGCTCCCAGCAGGGGGCCCCAGCTACGTGGCTCTCTCCACAACCAAACCCAGCCGGCCGTGTTGGCGGTAGCGGTGGGAGATGCCAGTTCCCTCGCCTGAGAGGGGCTACGGAGGTCAGAGGGTGAGGCCTGTCCAGGAAGCAGGGGTCAGGGAAGGCGAAACACAGAGGCAGGGCTAGGCTGAGACCAGAGAGGCTTGTGCTTTAATGACAGCTGGGGCAAAAGGGAACAAAAATAGTAATTCTGGGGGACACAGGGAGCAGGCAGCCAGGCCCAGCCTGGCCCAGCCCAGGCCAGCTGGGCCGAAGATGCTGGCTTTTTGTCCAGGGGGCTGGTGTGTGTAGGAGGTGGCTGGAGACAGATCTCTTGGAGACAAGGGATGACAGATGGCTCAGAAGTCCATGGAACTGTGGGCCAGGTAGTCCTTGCGGCCGATATTGCTGACCTGCTTGGTCTGCATAGCCTCGAGTTTGGGGCAGTCAGTGATTCGATGGCCCAGGCCCCCACAGAAGGCACAGCCACGCTCTCCTGGGGGCATGGGGGTGAGAGTCAGCAAGACTGCAGGACCAGGCTCCACACCCCAGACCCTGGCTTCCCATTAGAGCCCTCCCTCAAGTCCTCTGATGTGCAGCACATACTTAGTTTTGTGGTGCTCTCGTCATGTTCCCCTGCTCCCCCCACCCCCCCACTGCCCCGGGGTCTCCTGGCCAGCAGTCACCTCCAATGTCCAGCATGGACTCATCCCCACAGTGCAGCACTTGCAGCACGGGGGGCACCTTCTGCTTAGCCTCCAGCAGCAGGGCTTTCAGGTCCATCAGCACTGACTCGTCTGTGGAGGTAGGAGGGAACCATGAGGCCCAACCCTAGGCCCTGCAGCCAGGACCTAGGTAGCCACAGGCAGAGGACCCAGGGGAGAGCTGGGGTGGCCCTGGTGGCAGCCTTACCACAGGCCTTGTTGATGAAAGTGGTGGCAATGCCTGTGTTCCCTGAGCGCCCGGTACGGCCGATACGGTGCACTGCAGAGAGGGAACAGAACCTCTGGCCTACTGCCCAGGGGCTGGGGCCCAGCCCGCACCCCTGACACCTTGCCCCCCACCCAAGCTCCCCACCGTAGTTCTCGATCTCCTCAGGCATGTCATAATTTATGACATGCTGGATGGCAGGGAAGTCCAGGCCCTTGGAGGCTACGTCTGTGGCCACCAGGACATCCTTCTTGCCCTCCCGGAATGCCTCGATGGCCTTGGTCCGTTCCTCCTGGTCTGGGGAGGGTTAGGCAGGAGCTGTTAGAGTGACAGGAGTCTGGGGAGTAGTGGCAGGCCTACTAGGCAGGGAGAGGGATTAGGTGAGGGCAGCAATGGCAGCAGAATCCATGCCTACGTGTGCACTACCCCCTGACCTTTGCCCCCATGGATGGCCACCGCCTCGACCCCCTTGAGCAGCAGGTACTCGTGGATGGCATCCACATCTGCCTTCTTCTCCGCAAAGATGAGCACCTGTCCAGGAAAGCCAACTTCAGTCATGGGGGCTGACCCCAACCAGGCGTGCCCGACCTTCTCCAGCATGCTGCCCCCACTCACCCCCTCCCCTTCATTCCAGGGGTCCTCAGCCAGCCTGGTGGGCTGCACTTACAGGTGGGGGTGTTTTCTGTAGGCACTCAAGCAGGTATACCATCTTGGCCTCCTCCTTGACATATTCCACCTCCTGCCATCACAGGAGCCAGGTCAGGTGGGCCTGCAAATGGGCTCACCAGCCCTGGCCCTGCCACAGAGCCTGGGCCCCCAATCTTGGCTGGGAGGAAACCAGAAGCCTCTTGCTATAAAGGACTGGCTGCCCTAAGAATGTTTCCTGCTAAGGGCTGGGGATGTGAATGAAACCCCAGTGCCCACAAGGTGGCCCCTCAACCCTACTCCGAGAGCTTCAAGGCGGCCTGGCCAGATCCAACCCTCACAAGTGAGACCCTGCTCATCAGGAGTGCCTGCGCACCTGGATGACATCCAGGCTGGCGGCCCCAGCGCGCCCCACGTTGATCGTGACCGGCTTTACCAGGGCACTCTTGGCAAAGTTCTGAATCTTCTTAGGCATGGTGGCACTGAAGAGTAGGGTCTGCCGCTGGCCCTGAGGAAAAGTAGGGCTACGACTGAGGGCATGTGAGGCCTGGGAAGGCCAAGTAGCTGGGATGTAGCCCCCTGAAGCCGGGGCAGTGGGTGGGCAGTGCCAGGCCTCAGGGCCTGCCACAGTTGAATGGGGTGTGCTGGGGAGGGTGGCAGGAATGCCCTAGCCAGGCAGGGACGGGCACCTTGAAGTAGGAGAAGATGGTGCGGATGTCGCCCTCGAAACCCATGTCAATCATGCGGTCAGCCTCGTCCAGAGCCAGGTAGCGGCAGATGTCTAGGCTGACCATCTTCTTCTGCAGCAAATCCATGAGGCGCCCAGGGGTGGCCACCATCATGTGCACACCACTGCGGAGCAAGAAGACCCTGAGCTCAGGGCTACCCGCCCATCCCTGCACCTAAGGGCTGGCATTCTGCTCATTATGCCCTCTTTCCTGTCCCTCCTCACCCGTCCCTTCATCACGTCCACCACCCTGCCCTACTTGTAAAACATATCTCTTCCAGAAGGGGCTGCAACCTTCTTGACTACTGCTCTGCTCCAGAGCTCCTCCCCAGCCATGAATCAACCCTGCATACCCTTCCCTCTCTAGAAGGAGGGTGGTCCTGAATCTCCACACAGGTCTCAGTATGTGCTCCTGCAGCCCCCTTTGTAGGCGTTGATGGGCTCACTTCCCTGGAATGCTAAATTAATCTTTTCTGTATCCGAATCTTCCCTGAGACCGGGAATGCCTTGGAAAGAAGGACCTAAGTGTGGCCTGTACGTGACTCCAGAGCCTGGTCCCGGGCAATTAGCATTGTCTGCTGGCGACTGCACTGTGTGGAAAGGCCATGGATCTGGCCCTGCCCTAGTGTCTCAGCCTCCATGCTGGACCACACTAAATGACCCTGACCTTCCTGGACATCCTGGGTCCCCCACCTCTGTCTCTTCTGCCCAGAATGCCCTGACCCCTGACCTCCCAGATGCCCCCATTCCATCTGTTGTGCTCCCACAGTACCTTACCACATCCCTCTGTCCCACCCCAACTGATCTCCCCATTAGACAAGGAACTCCTCGAGGACAAGGAAGCTTCTGGAAGGGTCTGCAAGGGTAGCTAAAGCAAAAGGCCCTTTAGCTTGTCGAGGGGCTCTGGGGAGGCCCACAGGGTGGGGGTGCTTATGCTCACTG